AAGCGAAGCGATGAATGAAGCGTTTGCCTCATGATGGGTATGGCAGTATGGCATGTGTATGGCCGCAAGAAGTCAGGACCCTGGCGGACCTTCGGTGTGACCAGGGACGAGGACACTCCGCCAAACTGACGCCTTCATTGACAAGCTCTTTCGCCCAACCATGCAACAGGTACAGATGGCTCTGAAGCAGGGCACGGACCAGAAAACCATCGTGGATGGTGCCATGCTTGGTGTTCGTGATGGCTTGCATGTAGGGCATCCCTTCATTCGGAGAGGAGTCGGGATTGTGAACTTGACTGAAGGTATTCTGTATTGTGCAGATGGCATCGAGCCAGATTTGCAGGAGAGACTTAGGCTTGTAGGAGAGAAAGGGCTGTCGATTCAAAGTATTGTGGCAGTACTGTCAGTGTGCATCAGGAGCACATGAGATATCTGGGCGTGGATCCTGCCACAGACGAGAACATTCTTTGGATATTCACTGCGTTCAAGGAGCCATCAGCGCTCCGTAACAAGCTTGAGACAATTTGAGACAAGTGAAGCCAACGGGTTGCAGGAAGAGCCCTTGCCATCGAGTTCTGCACAATATGTGAAGGTGCGGCGCAGGCTTTTAAAGCAGCATAGGGGTAGCAGAAGCATGTGCTATGCAAGGATGGTATGGTTTACTGGGTGGATGAGCGCACCAGTGAAGCAACTTGGAAGTCGCTTGCCGTCAGCCGAAGTTGGCACTTGCTGGCACATGCGTGAGTTGGCCTGGTCATTTCCTATTGCGTCTTCCGGTTGACTCAGGCATCCCCACTACGACAAGTTTCGGAAGATGCTTCAGGTGTCTCGGCAACATTTCGTCGAGAGCTAATACCGGCTAATCCTTGCATCTTCTTACCTGGTCCCGTAACTTCATGACGTCCGTTTTCACTCGCTCTCTTGGACGTCCAAACGAATCTGAGCTGCCAAGAAACATAATCCTGAAAGGGCCCTACGTTGAATCACGAAGTCTGCTTGGAAGCCACATCAATCCTCAACAGAAGTCGCCTTCTTTAGCTCAAGCAGAGACCGGGGGCATATCGGGGAATCGGGACTTGGGCCTGCTGGTAGATCCGGGTAAGTTCCGGAGGATCGGTTTGGGTGGGGATGCTGGGTTCACAGCGCCTTGAAAAAGTGTTTATGCGGGGCATGGCATCAAACTTTGCTGCTTACATGGACTGGCACAGTGAGTACCCTGCATGTGGCGAGCCAGAAACGATAACTTTGGTTTTGTGGAAGGTTCTTGGGGGTTCAGCAAATTGTGCCGAGAGCTTTTCTGGAGAGGCTTAGAATGGGCTCATACTTTAGCCTCACAGGACCTCGGCTGGTGCCCCGAAGGCTCAAAGTGTTTGAGCAACCTTGAGCAACTTTGAGCAGCTTCGTGCATAGCCCTTTCGCTCATTGGCACAGTAGTTTGTGCACTGCCGTGAGGACACTGCTTGGGGTTCTTGTAAGGCGGGCAAATGCCCGTTATATCCCAGGGGCCACTTTGCCGCCTGCATTGAAGCCGAGGTTGCCCGAAACCAGAAGCCTGTGCCACACTGGAAGTCCATCATGGAGTTCAGGCCCGCTGTGCATTCAGAAGCATGCATGTATGCACGTGGCTGCGAGTCGTACCTCGCCTGAGTCGAAAACAAAGCCCCCCTGAATTGGAAACGCCCTAAGAAAGGCAGCCTAGAGAAAACCTGGATATTTGTTAGAACCTATGATCGGTTTGGGCTTTAGAGTCTTCGGGTTTCGGGGCTTCAGGTTCAGGGGTTTTAGATGCACACGCTCGGTTCCTGTTTTCCTATGTTTTTTCTTGCTCATGTGCTCTTGTTTTCTGACTCGTGCTGTCCCGTTTTCTGACTCGGCCATTTTGTTTACGGACTCGGCACTCTTTCTTGGACTCTTTTCTCGGCTTACCGGTCACCTGTGAGCACCATAGCAAGCAGGATAGAGTTTCTCCTGTCCAACATCTTCACATGGGAGGCTGAGGCAGGAACTGCATGTGGCAAGGGTTCTCAGTTGAGGCAAGTCTTGCAGCCGTGTACATGCAGGCTTCTGGCGAGTACCCTCTCGTCGAAACCGTTGACAATGTACATGCCTTTCCGCTGTGTTTTTTCTCCACTGTCATCGTATCGACGTGGATAAGCAAATGTTTTGTTCTCTATAAGGCTGCCGGCTCTGTATGTACTGCAGTCAGGTCATTGAAATGGCGCGAATATTTGGCGTCGACATCAAGAACGAACCCTACCTGGTACATGCATCTGCCTCATTGCAAACCAGTTGGGCAGCGGGTTGCGTTGAACTGCTGCGCACTGTTGGGAAGACTTACTTGTGAGCAGAGCGGAGGTGTTGAAGCGTGCCTTGCGGCACTATGGAAACTGCGTCAAAGAGAAACGCAAAGTCAAGGCCCCCTGTGCCATCCTGTCACTCCAAGTTGCTTTAAATTGCACAACACACATTGCTTTTCGGAAGCTCAAGAAGCCCCAGAAAAGATGTGCCCAAAGTTGCAAAGAGCGAAGGATGTTGAGGACTTCCGGAACCTCATGCATCGCTACAGGGATCTTGTCAGTCCATAGCTGAGCACTTGCAGAGCACTTGCAGAGCACTTGCATTGCTTTGCGCTGCGCTTCTGGTGTTCCACCCCGAGGTCAATATGAGCAAGCAATGAGCATAGAGGAAAAACGGGTTGCCAAGATGAAGATCTGCGCCCGCCCCTGAGTCCGAGAGAATTCTTCCATGCAATGAGCCCTTAAAGAATCAGGGTTTCCTCGAGGCGAGGCTCAGGGAGTGTTGCGTCTCTGTTCTGTGTTCTCTGGACGAAACAGAAATCCTGGATGTGGAAACGCAGGGCCACTCACAAGCTGGTGGTAAGAGAGCAGCAATCCGGTGCAAACCAATTCAGAACCTATGGGGAGCCAATTTCATCGTCCAAGAACGTATACAGTTTCAACTGTTGGTGTGGAGTAAGTAGGGAGAGCGACCATGCCAAGACCACCTCAAACGGACCTGATCTTCGGAATCATGTGCAAGACAGTTTTCGTGGTCCTTACGGATGTGGCCGTCTTCAGGCACATGTATTGGTCCAAGGTACAGTGTGACGAGCGCGACGCTGTTCTCTTCTGTGACCAGTGCAAAGACTTCTTCTGCCAGGGTTGCTTTGCCGAAGCCTCAGGGACAGGTTTCAAGCTGGATCGGTCTAAGGTTCCCTGACGGCTCTGAAGGCTCTCCTTGTATAGAGGGTTGCCAAGCGCGCACGCCCCGAGGGTGAACAGATGACCATGTTCTAGAGTTTAGGACACAAGTGTGCTTGAAGCATATGGAAAGATGGAGTCTGCATCTGGTCTGAGGACAGACTGCACAGCAGAGGTCGAAGGCAAAACCATAGACGCACATGGGTGACTTGGCTTCGAGTTGACCCAGTGACTGTTGGGACCTGCTACGATTGTTGCTCCCCAGGTTGAGATGGGCATGTGCGCAGAATGCGTGGAGAGCATTGCCCTCTTCCACTGCGTGCAGTGTGCAGACTTGTACTGCAGGGACTGTTTCCAGGCAGGTTGAGATAGATGCTTAAGGACAGTCTACTCCAATACTTCTACATTACTACAAGCTACACGTCTACAGCATCTGGCGAGCTGGCGCAGGAGTGGCACGTGCGCGGTGGACGCAGGAACCACATTCCCATCATCCTTAGATCCTTCAACTCCCAGACGCACCAGCTGCCGGAAGCGACGCCTGCCATGGGAACGGGTGCTGCGCAAATCCTGGCCAAGGCAATGCGCAAGCACAAGAAACATTCAGATCGTCTGCCGATGCAACGTTTTGGGAACGCAGGCTCGGAGTCCCTGGTTGGAGTTCACGGATGAGAACAATGCACCGGCCTCGGCAGTAATGATCTTCAGTGTTGCGGAAATGTGCCTGGGTCAGAGGTGAAGCTATACTACAACATCCTCACGACAGAGTCGAGGATTCTGACGTTTTTCCAGCAATTTCGCAGTACCTAGGGGGTAGACTTATATGGTCTATTTCGACTGTGTTTGTTCGCAGGAGAGATAAGCCTCTGGCTGTGATCAACGAGCCAATCGAGGACAACAAGGGTGGAGGCTCCGAACATCATGTCATCATGTCATGTCGTGCCTGAGTCAAGAAGTGCGGCTTAAGAAAACCACTCGGCAGGGATGAGCGCGGGCTGGTCAGGGACATGGGGTCGCGGCTTCAGCTCGTTTTGGTGTCGAGGTCGTGACATGCGACAGCACGCAACTGCATCAACTGCAGGCGCCAACATGTTTCCGGATCCTCTCAGTCGGACTCAGCCGAATGCTCCTCAATTGGAGACAGCCTTTTGAGGTGGTGGTGCGCCCAGCATCTTCAGCAAGCTCTCATGTTACTCATGCTCGCTATCTGGTGTGTGCCGCAGGTCGCCACGCTGTTTCACTGGCCATCCCAGAGAGGGATGGATCTTGTTTCACGCAGTAAAAAGTATCTTCATACCAAGCTTCGTAAAATTGGCAAACATCTCTAAACACTTGGTTGTCAACACTGCATTGCATCATGACACCGAAGTCCTAGAGTAGTTTAAGATAATCTTTCAGAATCTTACCCGGTGCATGTTTTGTGCAGTGGAAAATTGGAAACTGGTAGTTGTCTTGAACGTGGAGGGCGAGTTTGACTCCAGATGCGGTTGACTTCCGGTGTAGACGGCATACAGCCACCCCAAGCCCTAAGCCTTAAGCCTTAAACTCGAAAGTCTAAACCCTAAACCCTGAACCCCAGACCCTGGACCCTAAACCCTAAGCACAAGACATGCAACCCCGCAATGAGCTGCCAAACATCACCGTATGTCATGTGTGTGCTTGGGATTCTTGGCCCAACACAACAGTGGGACACAAGGGCCATGCAGTGGACCAGTGCGGCGCCTGGGGTTATGCGCCGACAAGCGACTGGAGAGCGAATGTTTACTCATGCTTTGAATGTATGAAAGCTGGCCGAAGGCAATGAACAACATTCCTGCACTGCTTAACCACTTGGACGCCAACCGGGAGGCAGGTGAGGAGAAGTTCGTACAATGGAACTTGCACGAATTGACACCGCTGGGAAGCCGATGTGTGACAGTCGCCCACCTTGAGCTTGGCGTACGCGTCCATCTCAGATGAAGGCATCGTGGAGGCCCGATGCGGCTTTGGGGTGCAGCATAGTGCAGCATGGGCAGCGCAATATTTGGCATGACAGGTGTCGAAGTTCCTGCGGGACAATCCGTTTGTGAAGTGCTCGGGGCAACTGTAATTTGTACGTTGAGTCTCCTGTCGCAGTAGCAATTCGCTTGTTTCTAGTGCCTTGATTTCTAAGACGCGTGCAGAGACTTGCTGGAAGACAGGTACTTGGACCTGCGAGGAAATAACATCCAGGCCTGTGTGTTGCGTCTGTGTGTTTTTTTTTGTGTTTTTTGTGTTGTTCTTTGTGTTGTGGTCTGAGCTCCAGGCCAAGGGGGCCATGGCCCTGGCTAACGGCATTAAGATCAATAGATCTTTGCGGAGCCTGAATTTGAAATGGCACCTGCCCCAGCCCGTAAGCCGAGCAGGCCTCCCTGAGTGCGTACTTTCAACACTCAGGAATGCTATTGGGAAAGACCCCAGTGGCTTGAATGCGCTGTGCGACGTCCTGAAGTGCGCCCGGACAGCTGTGTGACTTGTGCAGAGAGGACAGCAGGCTTAGGATTGGAGTGCCGAGTGTCGGCAGAAGCCAAATCATGTACTCTGGAGGTCGAACTTGACAGTTGGTCACGTTGATCTTCGAAACAACCGTGTCAACAACGTGGGTGCAAAATACATCGGCGAGATGTTAGCATCTAACACGACCGTTCGGGTCCCAGTTTCTTGATTCGCCCATCTGCTTGAATGTTCGCTGTTGCACGTCTGACTGTTATTATCTGCGTTCAGATCACGCATTTGGACCTCTCCTGGAATGATCTGGGTGCTGATGGAGGATTGGCACTGTTAGAAGGTCCTTGGCTAAACCGATGTGCTGTGATTATGTTGTTTTTTCTCAGAGAGTTTGGATGCTTGCCCGCACGAAGGCCTGAAACACAACAGCACCGTTCTGGACTGTCAGCTTAGTGGTTCGAAGGCCAGCAGTGGTCGTTCTGCTACGAAACTCTCAGCATGGTTCTCATTCGGGCAGGTTGGTGAGGAGACGCTGCACGAAGTAGCCTTCATTCTTCGGAGGAACAAAGCTTCTGCAGCGTGCCCCATGGGGTGAACTAGTGGGGAGGGGGGGTGGGTAGCTGAACAAGCTTTCTTGCCTCAAGCGAGTCGTTCAGGATGAAGAGACTTTGTTGCCAGTATCTAATGAAAGCCTCGAGGAGTCCAAAAAGTGAGCAACAGACCTCCTTGAACGGTAGAGGCAGTCCAAAGACTTTACGGCATCCTTCGATCAGCTGCAGCTGTGCGTGTTGAGACGGTGGAAGGGTGTGGAGTCGGTGTGGCTGGTCTCGATTGTCCCACACTCCCCACAAGCGTCAGAGCATGGCAGGGCAAGAATATGCAAGAAGCGTTCTGCGATGGCGGCGATTTCTTTTTCATAGCTTGACATTGACGATGCTGAGACGGCTGGCAGGCTCCAGCTACACGCACGTACTCCGCTCTGCGAAACTTGAATTGATTGGCGCTCCTTTGGTCCGACGGATGGCAGTCCCATGGCTGTCGTCCTTCGATGTCGAATATGTGACCACAGTCAATTGGCTTTTGCACCCTAGGCACATCTGTTGCAAGCTGCGTGTTCGAGGATACGAGTATTCAACAGAAGGCATGACAGCGAACAGCGAAACGTGTAACCTCCTTCCGCACAAGAAAGACACACACACACACACACGCACGCACGCACGCACGCACGCACGCACGCACGCACGCACGCACGCACGCACGCACGCACGCACGCACGCACGCACGCACGCACGCACGCACAAGCGCACGCACAAGCGCACAAGCGCACAAGCACACAAGCACGCAAGTACGCAAGTACACAAGTACGCAAGCACACAAGTACACACACACACACACACACACACACGCGCGCGCACACGCCCAATGAATGCCATGAAGATCTGACAGACATTAGCAACTTGCCGCTGCAGATGTTGGACTCTTTGCAGGATCTGTTTGCACTCTCTTCGGATGCAGGTACAAAGCCAGTCCCAATTCGACTGGAGCACAAATGGCTTGGGACTTACTGCTGTCAGGGTGTCAGCGCTTATGCCATCGAGTCGCTCGTAGCAGGCTGCAGCCGATGCCAAGACAGCCACACTTGGACACTCAGCAGCACCAAGCTTGATCTCCTTCACTGTCGGAAAAAACCTTGGAGAGCGAGACCTGACTTGCCAGGTAAACCAGTCGCTCCTGGTCGACGCTTGGTACGAAATGAAAGGGACTTTGCCAGAAGCTTCTCCGTTTTAGCGAGTGCGTTGAACACGCAAAAATGCGGTAAAGAGAAAGAGGTGCGAGGTGGCGCGTCGGTGCTGTGCCCTATGCCACGCGGAATTGTTTTGACAAGCCCCTGCTTGCTGTTGCCTCTGGGGGGAAGCAAAGTGGCTTCTGCACTGATTCTACGTCCTTAACCGACTGCATGAAGGTGTCTGGTTTGGTGATATGGGATGCAAGTTCTAGGCAATGAGCAGGAGGAACTTAGGGAAACGTCCAACAATGGGCGTTGAGAGATGTTCAGATCGCCCAGCTAAGGAGGTCAGGTGGACCGGAGCCAAGCAGAGGCGAAGGCAATGAACCAAGCTTGTTCAGCGTGATGTAGTGAGCAGTGAGCATTAATTGACGGGCTTTCTGGTGTTTGCAGGCTCCTTCTCCTGAAGCGGACTTGCAGCCTCCGAAGAAGGCGAGTGTGTTGCAGACCCGCTACATTTGTGAACGTCTGCTGTGCTGCCTCAAGCTTGAAATACCAGGGCCCACAAGCGAAAGCAAACTGGACGCCAAAGGAGCGAGCTGAACGGGGCATTGTCTTCTGCCGATGAAAGCGACGCTGGCTGTCTAGGACAGTAGCACGCTGATGCTACGATTGATGATGAAGGAGAGGGAGCAGGCGCACAGAATCTGCCTGCCGAGAAGATTTGCAGCTGCATGATTGCGGGCATTCTTCGTGAGCGCTGGCTTTGGTGAAGGTCCTACCAGAGGACAAGGTGTTCTACCAGCAGATAGCAGAACATATTGCTGCTTTGCTGCAAGACTCTTGACAGCTTGCCGTGCCTTCAACTCTCTGTTAGTGAGGATAAGCTCCTGCTGGAAACCTCGAAGCACAAACAGGGGAGAGCCTCTGAGATGCACTGGGCGTGCACGGGTGTCAATGTTCTTGAGCATTGACCTGAACATATCTTGGCATATCTTAACATATCATATCTTGACACATTGCAACATGCCCCTGACCTAGGTCGATGGTGAAGAGAGAGAGAAGCTGTCGACGACCGGCTTCCTGGAAAGGGAACAGAGGTATCAAGCCCAAGTGCACACATGCTGAGTCAAGTCAGGACGTCTTTCAGACAGATGTCCCTTGGCTCTCCCAGGTATATCAAAGAGATCCGGCAAACGGAGGAAGCTCTGCAAAGAGTTATAAGTGAGAAGGACGAGATGATGCAGTATCTGCAAAGTGCTTCTTACCTTCCGTATGCTTGCTATGGAGGCTTTCATGCGTCATTTGCTCGATGCCGTCAAGTCAAGCAAGTGCCGCTTGCACAGCCGATGTTGTGCGCAGGAGTTCTCGCAGAAAGAGTTGGCTGCCAAGAGCGTGTCTCTCAATCAGCTGAACGAGCAGAACACTTCTGCAGTACGCGAGTCCATTGTCATGCAGGCACCTCTGCACCATCCACTGCACTATACTGCACTCCCCGGTCCCGAGCTTGAAAATCTGGCAGGAGCGCACAGCCGCAGAAGAGCAGCAGCTCAGAAAGGACGTTTCCGATTTTCTACTGGCACTGCACTGGCGCTGCACTGCTTCTGAGTCCTGTCGGAGGAATTGCGGGAGCTCCAAGTTGAAAAGAAAGACCTTCAGGACTCCGCATGAACTCCACGTGGATTCTGCACCTCTACGTGCTTCCTGTGACTGGCCATGAGGACAAGTTGGCCCTGAACGTCAAGGACCTGGAGCTCCTGGAACAGGACTCTGGCAGTTTCAGATCGTTCTGGCCCTCCGCGTTTTCAGCCCATGCTTGTCCGTTCTTCGGTCCCTGTGCTTGTTGAATGCGCCCTCGTGACCTTTTGTCATTGTAGATTTCGGAAGATGCGACACCGATACAATCTATCAATCAAGCTGCCTTCCGAAGTTGCGATGCCAGGAGAACGAGCGCTTGCGCCAGCATGTGAAGTCTTTTCAGCGTGACGTCAACGAAATTCTTGCATGAGGGACCGCAAAACTAGACATGGTTGTTGTGTTTTGCCTTCTGATTCATGCGATGATGAATCATGCTTCACGTTTGGAAGCACCCAAGGTGGCTTCCAACCCCATCACTGGACCTGTGCAGTGTGTGTGCATTCCAGTGATGGTTGTTTCACCAAGCTTTGCTAGTCGCGCCCTCTCCAGGTCAAACCCACATGTGACCTGCCTCGGCGTCGAAAAACGGAGCCCACTACACATTGAAAAAGCGCGCCGTGCACTCGAAAGAATATGAACACTGACCAAGGGTTGCGACATACAGACGTGGTGCGAACAAGGCTGACGATGTTGTTATGCTGACGATTCTTGCTCAGATCTCAACCCAAACCGTGGCATTGCCCGGGAAGTTTGGGACACCCAGTGCACACACACACACATGGCGTGCACTGCAAAACGACACTAGCCTTCTCATGCAGCTGGACATCCTTCGAGACCGGATCAAGAAACATTCCTTCCGGGCATGGCTTCCACTACATGGCCAGTGAAGTTAGCTTCTAAAATTCTAAAAGATACCTGAAAGCTCTGGCAGCTTGACCATATTGGGCAAGCTCATTTTGCGCTGGACCGCTTGGGACCTTGGCTGCCAGCCACATCATGCTTTTCCCACGCTCCCGTCCAGCCGACGAGTGCGATCCAAGTGCCTAAGTCTCCTAAGTGCTGTGTGAGACCAAGCATCCATCGGAGATCGTCAAAGCCAACGGGGCAGACACGAGCTTCGAGCTCAGTAGCCGCATGATCTCGAGGAACCCAATCTCGAGAGAAGGCGCATCGCTTTGATAGGGGGAAGTCACCGCGACGGTCCCAAAACATTCAAGCAGCGAAACAGCAGGGAACAACAGTTTTGAGTCCATGCACCGTCGGCTCAAAGACTCAACGGCTCCAAATGGAATGCCGGTGGGCGGATGCCGTGTTCCTTGTGGCATGTGCTGGTGCTGCTCCTTCCAGGCACTTTGTGTTGCACAAGTCCGTGTGCTAAGATCGGGAGATCTCAAGCCGTGTGCATCCGAAGAGGTATCCATGGCCAGGTTGGGAGTTGCTGTGGACATGTCGTGCTTTCCGTGGAGAAGCTGTGTGCTATTGTCAAGTTTGTCAAGCACTGAGAGGCATCGCAGTTTGCGATAGAAAGTTGTAAGGATGAGGAGCAGGAGGCCTGACGGGTGCCCTGAATCATCCGAAGTCTTCGCTGTTTTTTGTGATGATGTGCTTTCTTCAGAAAGCTGAAGCAGTGCACTGAAGGGTTCATGATGCTGAAGAGGTTCGGATTAATACGAGACGGCGGCGACAATACCTGTACGGAATTGCACGTGTCATTGCCTTTCTTCTGTGACACAGCGGGTCGCTGTGCTGTTAAGGTACAGTTGTAGTTGAACTCTTGTCTGCCTCGCCTTGCAGGCGGGCGTGCAAATTGTGTGGCCAAGGTCCGCAGGATTAGCAAAAATTGACAAGTTGCGCACCGCTTGCTGCATGGTCTTGTCGTGTCTGCCAGGCCAGGGCAGATCCTGCCTCCGACGTTGACACCCTTTATGCTCCGCACAAAGATTTGGGGAGACTTCCGATTGAGAGAAAGCGGCTATATCACAGCAGTGATCACTGGTACAGATGCAGATCGTGGCCATGAGATGTCTACGTTCTCTACATTGATATCTGAAGAGCTCAACATCGAGGTGTTTGGCCTCCAGTCGGGCAGGTACTTCATCAAGGCCGTGCGGCAGCGTAGTTTCGCCATCTAAATCTGGTGACCCGTACTGTATGTGTCACAGCCTGCGCCTGTGAAACTTGGCAATGTCGAGGGCGGAGGGCCCGTGAATGTCAGATTTTCCGGGAGTGGGGCCCCTGAGTGGGGGGCTCCTGAATCTCGTCGATTGCAGGATGCCTTCGGTAGGACATCCCAGCCCAAGCCCTTCCAGGAAGTCACATGAAACTCACGTGGCCACAGCCCGCCCACCAAACGTGATCGTCTGTGGTGGCTGATGTGACCGCGGCGACACGTGTACTTTGCCAATGCCAAACCACGCACCTGTGCCCACAAGTGAGCTCGAAGCAACGTGCCCTGTTCCGGAAGCCTGGAAGGTAATTGCATCTCATCATGTTGACGTGGGTGTTGCTCATATGACTCATAATGTTTGTTTTGTGGTGGGTGCAGGTGCGGGTACGCGGTGGAGGGCTCCGTCGGTTGTTTCAGCTGTCGCTTGTGTTCAGCTGATGCATGCTGATGATGGTGCAGGCGTTTCTTGTGGATGGATCAGACAGGACAAGGACAGGACGTCTCTTGCATCGCGTTTCTTCTCTTTGAGTTTTGACTTCTGCTTTTGTTGGCAGGAGCTGCTGGCTAACGCACGCGACATCCTTCGAGATTCAGAAGAGAGAATCGAAGAACCGGACAGACTCCTTGATGAGGACATTGGCAGCCTGAGTTCCTTAGGAGCTCGAATCCTATCATCCTATCCTTTGCAGCCGGCTGCGACTTTCCAGGAATCTACATCTGTACCAAGAAGGTTATCGTGCGCATCCAGAATCTCGGGACATGCCTTCTGCAAGTCTCTCGGGGTGTCGCTGCTTGAATGCTACCTCCAGGAGCCCATGCTTCCGCAGCCAAGATCCGGAAGAGATTTTGCATACGTTACGGTTCTCTGGGGCGATGAGTATGTGGATAACGCCATTGTATGGGCGACCGGCTTGGCCGCTTCTGGATCAACCTTTCGCCGTGTATGCATTGTAGCAAGGGGCAGGATCACAAGGAGTAAAATTCGAATCCTGTCAAGGCCAGGGTGCGATTTTGCGCTTGAAATTTGGCGGTTCTGGATCTCTTGGATCTCTTTTGCAAATGCATCATGTGAGGTGCTGTTGCGACATTGACTTGGCGGATCCGATTCAATCCCCCGCCACTTGGCACTGCAATTGTGAGCCATTGTGCGTCCGTTCGGCTGCGTGCAGATGATACTTGCTTGCAGTACCTGGAATTTCGGCACAGCAGCCCCGTGATGCAGCTGAGGCTCTCTCATACAGTCGATCAAGTCGGTACGAGTTCGTCCTGACCAAGCTGCGTGTGTTACAGCTGGACCAAAAGGGACTCAGAAAGATCGTCATGATGGACCAGCGAGTTGGCCAAAATGCAAGTCCAAGTTTGGGGTCGCTGATGCGCTTGTAAAAAAAATGCGCACTGCAGATGTGACACGTCCGCTGCGCAGGACGCCGATACACTTGTGCTGCAGAATATTGACGAGCTTTTCTGGCTGCCATCTCCTTCGGCCACTGTGAACAAGGACACGGCTGTTGTGTCGAGGCTGTGCGATCGCATGGCTTAGTTTTAAGAGGCTCGGGATAAGACACATGCGGTTTGACGGTATGAGTGTAGAGGTTGTAGGCTCGATATGACGCGATGGCACATGATGGCACAAGTGCCCCTGCGCGTGGCCAGCGCTTCTGAAACATGACAGGACACCTTGATGGGTGAGCTGGACAGGCCGAAGCTAAGTGCTGGTGTGATGGTTCTTGAACCGGACAGCGCAAAGTCGTGGTCTTAGCCAATTGCAGTCTCGCAGAGTCTAGCACTTTACCAACGCATTGTGCACGTGTGCGGCTGTGTTGCTGCTTGGTGTTGCATTGCGAGGTTTGACCAGCTCCTTGCCAACTTGCATCGCGAGCAGGGAGGCAAGTTTTCACGATTTGTCGAGCAAGACCTGCTGGATGCGTACTTCAATCACACCTACAACATCATACCGCTCACATACAACCTCTACCCAGAACTTCTGGACATAATGCCGTTCCTGCAGCCAGATGAGCAAGACAATGAAACCAACGACATGTGGCCCAGTCTGCACTTTCCGCTTGACAACGGCATCAAGGTAGTTCATCTTTGGCATCTGTTCAATCCGTTTCAGACGAGAGGGGAAAAGGGTACGCAGTATCTCCAGCTGAATGCAAAACTGGTGCACAAGCAGATGTGGAGATGGCACCTCTGACAATTTAGCAGCAACGTTTTTGAATGTGCCGCAAGACTCTTGAGTGTCCAGTGAGCATGTCAGAGCGTTTATGCGTTTGAGAGCACCTCAAAGGTACTCCCTGTTTTGGAATCTGCATCAACAAGGGCTCCACCGCATGCGACTCAGACCCGTGCGGTCCTGTAGATGCGCGGCACGCCACTTTCATTGGGTGTTGCTGCTGAGGTGGTGCACCAGAGGAGTACCCCAAGTGGAAGCAGCACTGTGTCGAAAGATCCAAGGCCAGTGTCGGTGAAGCGCATGACAGGTTCTCATTTTCCGAATAGCCTTAACTCGCAGCAGCTTGAAGGCATTTGGCCCTACCCAAAGCCAGAGGCTGGCTGTGCTTGACTGCTCTACTCTGTCGTTTGAACATGTTGCCTTTTGCAACGCAGGTTTGTTCCTGTTCTTGGCACCGTCAGTGGGAGAGAAGTCTGTCGCCACATCGAAGGGCTGGCTTGGTAAGCTTTGCTGCCAGTCGGTGGACATACTGACATACTTGAACGATGGTACGGGCAAGAACTCCAGTGATCACCCAGAAAATATATTTTGGGATAAGGCAAGCAGTGGAACATCCTGGTCTGCCTGGTGCACGCTCACAGCAGGACCGTTGGCCAAGGAGACTTTGATCGTTCCCTGGTATTCGACCCGGGGAGGATGTTGAGAAACTCGAGCACTGTGTGTGGCTGCACGATGCGGCGGCTGCTGCAGACAGATTTCTCACCATTTTGGTGTCTGCTTTAGGGTGCTGCGAGCATGCTCGAGCCTCTGCAGCCAGCAGCTGCCTGTGATGTGCGCAGCAGGCACGCGAAAGGACGGAGAATTATGCTTCGACGGTTTAATGTGACATACATCCAGCAGAGACAACAACTTTTGCTACAAGGATTTCTGCTACTGACCCAACTTGCTCCAGCTTAACTAGCAGAGGCAGTGGCCGCTGCAGAGGGCGTTTCCTGCTTCAGCATCTCCGCATCCGAGTTTGTCGAGATCTTTGCGGGGATTATGTAGTGGTGTGTGTGTGTGTGTGTGCCTGTGCGTGACGAGAGTGGGCTTCAGCCAGGGCAGCGACAAGCGTGAACAGACTGTGAATCAAGTTGGATGGGTTCGAGCAAACATTCGGGATCAAGCCTTGGACCACTCGGGACGATCTCTTTCTCGACAGTGGGCATTTTCAAGGGGAGCGACATCTAGACATATTGGGAGCGATGGAATGCGGACGTGAGAGGGGAGCGAATCTTTACTGCATCTGCTGTCTCAGCTGAAACGCCAGGCAGGAAAAGATGCCATTTGCGGGAACCCCGCAAAGGAACCTTCTACCCGAAAAGACAGACCTTTGCCGCGTCTGAGCTCAGACAGTTCAAACACAGCCTCCCCAAACAAGACAACTGTTAGCTTCAAGTTGCTCAGTTTCCTCCATGTGTTTCATCCCTGGGGTTGTGTCTATCAGCTCTCTTGCGATCCTCCATGGGGTTATGCTAATCGCCGTTGTTGCCAGCTTTGATAGCCGGACACTTGCTGTCCACAACGTGTTATTTTTCACTACCAGGGCTTATGCTTATTTTGTTTTTTTTTAGCGGAAATGCATGAGTTCTTGTCTGGGGGGGGGGGGGGGTGTTGGTGGGATAGGCTACACGGCCGGACCTCATCACCAACTTAACAGGGTTTTAGGGTTTTAGGATTTCAGGGTTTTAGGGTTTAGGGTTTCAGAGTTTAGGATTGTAGGGCTTAGGTTTAGGGTTTAGGGCTGGTGTTTAGGGTTTCGGTTTTACGGTTTAGGGTTTTGGGGTTTAGGGACTTCGGGCGTAGGTGTAGGGCTTAGGGCAAGTGTTTAGGGCTTAGGGTTGAAGGTTAAGGGTTTAAGATGGAGACTGGTCCACGCATTGCTAGTGCTTAAGGGAGTGGGGGGAAATGAACCTCGGTACTTCTATCGAAGCAATGTGTAAAGATGATTCGGGATCGATGAGCCCTTACAGCCTGTTTCTCGCTTTTCCATCTCTTCTGCCTTCCCGTTCTTCCTTTCTTTCTCCTTTGCCTCTCTTGATTAGTTGCGGGAAGTTGCGGGTTTGCTCCTCGCAAAAAGAACTGTAGCCACTGTGGCCTTCACCGAACTGTATGGTAATGCACGAAGATCGAAGAGCATGAGCTTCTGGCGATAGCCCAAAGTCGCTGTGGGTAGGAACGACCTTTCGAGTCAACCGTCACCCATCATCGTGCCCAGAGCGCCCATCACGACACCAGATCATCTCGAATCATGGTCTCGCTGTTTCGGCATGCGCATTGAAGCTGGCTTCCGCTAAGACGCAATCAAAAGCTACAAACCAACCAGAGCATGCCTCAGCAGCAGCTGCAGCTGTCGACCTTGGCATCTCAGCGCTCGCGCCAGCAAAACGCAGCTTCTCAGTCCTGGCACTTGTCGCTCATAGCAAGCCCTTCGTTTTTTTCTGTGTAGCAGCCTACTCACCCACCCCTCACACCCACACACACGCACGCACGCACGCACGCACGCACGCACGCATGCATCCACGCACATCCATGCACCCATGCACCCACACACACACACGCGCGCGCGCGCGCGCGCGCGAAGTCGCCGCTTGTCGTGCGCTGGTGCGACACTCCGGAACCTCAGCATTCAGCTCCAGGCTCCAGTTCCGTCAATGTAACACACCAACTGTGCACCCCAGCCATCATCAGCGGCTTTCATAAGCTGATAATGGCCAACATGGTGGCAGCGTTCGGAAATCCTGCTGCAGCACGATACCGTACATTTAGCTGAAGGCCTCAGCCACAACATTACACGGTAGCTTTTCGTCATGATGCAAGCGGCAGCGAGACAGCTTTGCAGCGCAAAGGCGGGCGTTTGTGCTTGGAATCTTCCTAGACGAGCCTTTTTGGTTGTGGCTGGGTGCTGTAGCGTCATGACACCTGCTGTGCAGATTGCGGCATGGTTGCCCCGAGCACGACAAGGTCCCAGGTGCACCTGTGGAGTGTTGAAGTGTTGATTTGAGTGTTTTTGGAGTCCTATTGACCGACCTGACTGCCGCGACTTTCTGTCCTTGGCGCCGTGCATGGGGGCTCTGAAGGTCGTACTTGCAGTATGGCTTGGTGCGAAGCCTGGCAGTGACTGCAAAGGAGCCCGAGGACAGGGCGGAACTCTGCAGATCTTGCTACTGCATCCTTAGCCTCCTGCTTTGCAGTACTTACTGTGCAGTGTCGCAGCATGAGTAGCGACAGTGTAACGACCCTAGTGGTGCCCCCGATGCCGCCCTCCTTTTGAGTACCACACCGGTGGGAACTTCGAAGGGTCGGTCCCCCAGAGTGCAATTTGGTGCGATTTGCTTCTGACCCAGTCATGGTGACATCTTGATTGTCCGGATTCATGGTCGCTTCACTGGTTGCCCTTCATCTCTTGCTATGCTTCGGGTTATCTGAGTTATCCGTGTTTCGCTGTGTGAAGTTTGTCTGTCAGCATTCAGTGCCACGCGCTTGTCCTGCAGCAGCGCGAAATTCTCCGTTCAGTTTGCAATTCGCGCCTGCTCAGAAAAATGCTCTCAGCCTCTGCAAGACTCTTCTCCCTTCTTACGTAGGACTACCAAAAAGTCGCGAGCTTCTTCAGTTCCCACAAGCTCAAGGGCTTCAAGATCTGCCCATGCGTTTGTACCATTTGTTCCATCACCAGCGGATGGCCCAGGGGCTCACGGCAACAGTAGGGTCGCTGTGTGATGCGCGGATGCGCATCCTTTTCATTCCGCCGCCGCATCGTTGCTCGGTTGTGGGGTTTCTGAGACTTGCATAGGGTGCATGTGATGCTTTGGGGGTTTCTTCGCTGCTGCAAGGCATCATATGTTTCATAGAAAAGCTCCATTCACGTTCCGGAATGGTGAGCAGATACCTGAGCCGCCTCCTGAGTGACTTGAAGTGGGCTTTTGCACAGTGCCAGTGAGCACAGTTTGCACAATGTTGCACATCTTCCTGGACACAGGTTGCAGGTCGCCTATGAAACTTGGGGCCACTTGGTGCGCCGCGCTTGCCATGCCATGCCATTTGGAGAAACATTCGAGATCACAGGGATGAGCGGCATGCATAGTTCAAGATTCTCGGACGGAAGCTATGACAACGGCATTGTTGCCCCGCTTCTCCGTGTGGCCCTGTCAGAATGCGAAGAGGGACAACGCCATACTTCTGCAGCCGACCCCTTACTGTCGTCTCCGAAAGCAGCAACATCGTATGCTTGTGTCGTGTCATACACGCTAAAAACTGCCACAAGGTGTGGGATGTCGGCATCATCGCATGCTTGCTCTCACGCTCGGAATCCCGCGCCTGGATGGTGGGAGGACCACACCTGGAACTGGGGGAGTTCTTTTGGGCCTCTAATCATCCGACCTTCGCTCGAAGAGTTTATGTGGCGAGGTATGACAAACCGATAGTCAGTGGCATGTGCTGGCCCCCCTATTATAGATTACAGATAGTTTTATGCAAGTTTTCCTGCGAGGATGTTGCCGTTGTGACGTCTGAGACTAACCTAACCGCAAACAACTTTTCACACGTTCCCAGCAATCATCAGCTGTTTGACCTTCCCTTTTTGATGTGAAGTGGGGGAAGGCCAGCACCAAATTGCAGTTCTCTGAAACTACACAGGAACGCTGCTCCGTGTCCAATCTTTTGAATTCACAGCTAATGGCTTTCACCCTTGTCCCCTAACTTCGGAGATGGGGGTGCCCGTGTTCAGTTTCCTAGCTGAAAGCTGCCCATGTGGGTCCGTTTCTCCTTCTCGCAAAGACCTCTTTGGACAACTCTCCTTGCCTGCATCGTGGGATCGTGAAAGGTTCATTTCTGCATTCAGCGGGAATCGTCGATTGCTTACGAGATTTTTGCGAATCACAAGAGAGACACCCGAACCTTCGCCATCTATTCAGACCATGTTGGTCTTCAAGTCTTGGGGATTTCCTACTCCAACTAGTCGCTTAGTCACACGGGGTCTGACTGGTTTGCATGTATGGAAAGTCATGTAGCCACCGTTCCTAGTCACCATTCCTACGAAACTCAAGGGGAAAAGCGCCACAAAGCGGTGCTCTGCATACCGGGGCATGCGCCCCAAGTGGCCTGACCTCCTTCCGGTGGTCTCAGATGCCTGCTTGTTCTCCAGCAGTCTCCCACCCTTCCCTGCCCTTCCCCCTGCCCTTCCCCCTGCCCTTCCAGTTCGGATGTCATTGTTCCCTTGTCCAGAGACGACGCCCTCTCAGGACTACATCGGTCCAGGCAGGCCGCTAGATACCAACCTCTTCTTCGACACAGCCTCAGCACTACCAAAGGCTGATAACGCCGATGAGTATGATATGCGATATGCGATGAATGTCAGGTCATCTGCACCAACAACCTTGGAGGATGTTATGGATCCAGGCATGAGCCTTGCCAGTTGGAACTGCACGTGACGCAACGGACGTTCCTTGCAGTGGGCCATCGTCTTTCGACAGCAAGACCGGCAAGCGCTTTGGAAGTACGTTCCCACGGTTTGAGGCCGTGCGCTGCGCGCTTTTGTATAAACATGTATAAGTTGTGGAACTTTCGGAACTGACGCGAGGTCCAGGACCAGGTCGCAGCACAGTTTCTCCTCATGGACCATCTGGGCATCTCCAAGGTCCATGCCTGCGTGGAGGACTCAGACCGACTCAGACGCGCCGAGAAAACTCAGCAATGCTCAGAGCACACAATCCTCAAAAAGGGCTGTGGACCTTGAAAAGCGATAGCAATCGCAGATTGTTCTTTGCAGGTGGGCTCATCCTTGGGAGGTGGCAGCCTGTGAGGATCTGTGAGGTGTTGCCTTGTCGCTAGATCCGGGGACCTTCCTCAGGCATGCAGAGTGTTTGTGCTGCGGCGATGTTTCCAGATCGGGCTGCGACCTCACGAAACAGTTGGTTTGGGCAGTTGCAACATGCCTCGACACTAGGCTCCCTTTGCTCGTTCTCTATCTTGTCTGATGATGTTTCCCACAATGAGTACAGTTACAGCAAACCAGTGCTCCACTGCAGCGGCAACATGTCTTCAACATGAGTAGTGGATTCAGGTTGGGAAGTTCGTGAGCATTTCTGCTTGTCGCTGGCTTAGTTTCATTGGTTCCACCGTTTGTTTGGTTTGATTCGTAAAGCCCACAGCCCCTCGAATTGCAGGTGCAAAAAGCTTCCCGGGAAGCATGGCCTTTCGCCATGCGCAGCGCCAGGCAAGAAACTCGGAACCTCGGAACAACCACAACAACCAGTGAACAGCCCGGAGCCAATTTTTCCCTCCTGAGCGGTGCACAGAGGCCATCATGTCAGATCCACACTGGAAGGGTGGCGTTCCGGGCCTGGCATTTACATGAGTCATGAGACTGTATGAGACTGTATGAGACTGTATGAGACTGTATGAGACTGTATGAGACTGTATGAGACTGTATGAGTCCGTATGGGACATGGTGAGGCTGGATCAAGGTGATTGGGTGAAGGGGAAGTCTTTCCGGTTGCCAACGCTTGAGGACTACTACGATGGCCCACTTCCTGCCAACGGCTTGAGACTAGCGCGACAGCCGGATGCTCGGACTCAGCTGCAACCCAGTACAAGTTCCAGCTACAATCTTTTTCTTGTGACGTCTGATTTCAGTCCCGGATTTCATTCCGGCTAATTGTGGCCCTCACGCCCTGCCGGCCCTGACGGTTACGGGGGTGGAGGGCGGGGTTCAAAGTTGGGGTGTGATCGGTGCGCTCTGGTCGGCTAAGGGGTCGCATGAGTCCAATGGCCAGCCTGGAGGAATTTCTGAGTTTCTGAATGCCTTGCCCAAGCCCACATAGGCTTGGAACCATCACGTACAGATCAGGGCTAGAGCCGCACCCTGAGCAGCGAGTGGATCGGAGGTTCGGAGTCTATAATGAGTGAAGAATCAACGGTGTTCGAGCAAGGTGGCAGCAACGCTTCGGACAGAGCTTGGCAAAGGGTGTGACGAAGAGGGAAGGCATGTCGTTTTGTGTTTTGCCGTGTCAGCTCATTCAGGCTCATCTCTATAATATATGTCTTCATTTTTAAACGAAGTGCAGGCTTGAAAAACGAATTCATGATTGAGTCCTACCTTGCACACCAGGGGGAGTGCTGGCCTCAGCCTGTCCAAGCACATCTAAGAACTTTTGGAAGCTCGTGCGTCTTCAACTGCAACGATGGGCTCCTTGTTCTTGCTTTTGCCCAGGAAGTGGGTGAATGCGTATGATCCAAACTCCCTGCTTTGGATATCCAAGGCCGTGGTAGGTTGTGAGCACGTCTGCATCTCCTGATGCACAGTTTGTAGTCAGGCCATGGACGGCTTTTCTATGGAAAAACCTGACAAGGCCAGTGTTTCTTGTGGTAGCTTGCGCAACCACCTGCATGGAACTGCATTGGCTGATGCCAGGATGGCAAGCTGAGTCTGCTGGAGGGCTTGAAGCCGGCGATGATGCCTGCTCTGGTGATTGGAGTGCAGCATGACGCTCCTCTGGCTTGTTTTTGCATTCGCCGGGACTTTCGGCGGCGCACGAGCTCTTACTCCTTGGCCCAGGTGCTCTTCCCGGTCTGGCAGCAGAAAGAGATTGCCGACACTTTGAGACAGGAGACGAGTGTCTGGATGTTGGATGTTGTGCATTGGCAAGCCAATGTGAGCCAAAGAGTATGTTGGCAATCAGGACCAGTCTCATGTCTACAGGATGTTGCAGCAATTCGGCCTTACTAGTGGGTGTTGAGGCAGGCAACAGACGGGTCGTCTACTACGAGCTTGACTCTGTTTATGGAGTCCGGCGCCCAAAGCGTTTTGCAAGAGCTTGCTTCGCGTTGCATTGCGTCGCACCTGCGCAGCATGACTCCTTCCTGCTGGACGCCGTTGCCATTGGCCCGGCTGTGAAAGGCCTGCCATCAATGTTTGCCGCTGCGTGCACATGTTCTCATGAGACCTGACTCTGTCTCAGGGCACCTCGAGCAGGAGCCCGAGGGAGCTCGCCACCTTTGGGAGGAGCCACGATGGAGCCACGTCTGCTACGCTTTGAGAATCTTTGAGAGTCTGTTCAGATGCCCTCTTTGCCAGGACCTTGCGGCGAGCGCCATGGGTTTCCTTCAGGTGTCCTGACATGCACGATAAAAGCTCGAACAGAGCTCGCAACGTTCATGGCTGGCATGTTTCAAGACCGGCTGTTGCAGAGAAGCCACTCCCCGACCTCTTAGCCGTGCTTGCAACGTGTTGACATGCTTTGACCTTGGTCGAGCCTTTGCAGGCCAGCGCTCAGCGTGGGAATCAAGCCGACAGCATGCGAGACATCTTCCGTGCGCTAGCGCAGGGTGAGAAGGCGCGGGAAGCAATGGTACTTGAGAAGTCTGCAGCCTTGCGTCATCTTGTGTCGCTGCATGTCGTTCGCGTGTCTTCTGCCATGCCAGGAAGTTGAGCGGGACCGCCTCAAGTCCATGGTGAAGCTCGTGTGGTCTGGGCGTGTCAATGAGGCACTCTTGATCTCTGAAAGACAGTCTGGATACGGAATACCAGCCAATGAGTCGCACGCGGAATGAATTGGCAGGCAGCTGTCGACAAGGCCTTTGATGCGATGGCCAAGGAACCGTTGATGCAGCGTGGAGCTCAGACTGCGGGCCTCGGACCTCAGTCTGGTGACCTCACTGGACTTCTTAGACTGGGGCCGGGGCACACTCGGTTTCTCAAATGTTTGTGGAATATTTGAATGTTTGAACGTTGTGGACACCGAGGCTTGAAGAGTTTATGGCAATGCGACAGGTGCTGCAGAGTGCTGTAGAGTGCTGGGACTCTATGCCGTTGCGCGCTAGGGATTCAATTGCGAGCCCTTCTCCTTGTCCTGCTTGTCCTTGTCAGGTACTGTCTGAAGCCATGTCTGACCCATACTTGCCCTAGGAAATTTTTGCGCAGTTTTCCACTCAGTTTTCAGATCGTAGTCCGGGCTTAGGCGCGATTGCGCAAAAAGCGCGCGCTCTCTCTCCCATGCATTCGTACAGCCTTCGGATGTGCATGCACAGACTACGGAGTGGCATTCTGATCAATCGAAGGATGCATGCACATTCTCCGCTACGAAGACATGACAGCAAAAAAGGGGCAAAGGCGTTGCTGTGAACAAGGTACTGTCGCATGCATTAAGCCATGCGTCGTCGTCGTCGTCATCATCATCATCATCATCATCATCCTCCATGTGTCCGCGACTGAATCATGTTGCTTTCCCAGCAGCTCCCAGCACAAATGGGAGCACCAGCAGAGTTGTGGAAGCCATGAGTTTCATGAAGCAATCATACCGAAGAAGGGGCATTGTCGGACACCAGCTCTAGCACGCTGAATCGCCGCATCGCCCTGCTTCCCAATGCTACCAGGCCAGAGTTCAGAGGTGGACAATGTTGGAGGTCATGGGATTGTGTCCTGTGGTCAGGATTTGGACCTTGTCCGCAGCAGAGTGAGCAAAGGTGCGGACACGGCTTCGGATGTTCTGGGGAATACGTCGTCATCCCAATGCCTCCAGGTGTTGCCAAAGCCCCATAAAGCCCCCTGTTTGCCCTACGGCCTTCCTTTGACCTACAGTAGCTGGGGTGCCGCTAACCTACCTTGCTTTAGGTCATGTGTCGCTTGGTGGGGGTGTCCCACAAAATTTCAGGGGTCCCAAAGTGGCCACCGCAACCCTGGCGGCCTGGCGGGGGGCTTGGGTCGTCGGAAAAGGGGCAGGAAGAGTCAGAGCAGGGGCTTTTTTTGGGGTTTAGGTTGTTGTTGATCCACAGGTGCCCCACTATCCCCACTGCACTGGGTTGCGGCTCCTCCGATCGGTTCGGGCAGGTCCTACAGAGGGTTGGGTTGGGAAGCGGCATGATGCCGTTGTTGAGGCGAATTTGACGCCACACGGCATCCTGCAAAAACCTGTTGATGCATACCCTAATCGACAACCCCAAACCGCCAAAGTCCTGCACCCAGTATAAGCACCCTTACCACGCGTTTTGGTGGCGCGCTCTGGTGCTCTGCAGGGATCGCTTTGCAGACGGGGATGCTGAGGCTCGTGGCGGTGAGAGATCTTGTGCTGGCAGCCTTCTTCTGTCCCTCCTCCACTTCAGGTATCTCAAGGTCAAGCAAAGCGTGCGGTCCTCAGTCTTCTGGCTGCGCCCAGCTTTTCAGGTGCCTTGTGTTAGAAGTGTCAGACCTGCAGCTTGTGAGCAAGGTGCGGCCATGGAGAGGCTGCAATGCCTGCGCGTTTGGACTCTGCATCGTGTTTAGGATTGCAATGCCGCGTGGCCGCATGCATGATAGGCTCACATTTTTCCACTCTCGGCAGGGTATGTGCTGATTCATTCGAAGAGGAGCAACAAGTCCATAACCACTGCAAGCTGTAGCCCCTAGCCAGGGCGCAGCTGGAAGCGCGCATCGCCGAGCTGTTGCCAGAAATCGAGAGAGAACGGCAGGTTGCGGTCCTAAATCTGCTCGTGGCACATCGTACCAGAATTGTGTCCAGCTTTCCACCATGGTCCAGCATGTGAATGGCATGTATATAAATCATGAGAGGCCCGGGTCGACAAGAACTCGGTCCTGGAGAAGAGGCTCAAGGACGGATTTGCTTCACCTTATGAGCGGAGCCCCGGACGGGCCATTGCAGAACACCGGTTCGCAAGTGAAGGATGTTGAGTCGCAGCTGCTGAGCCTTCGCTGAGCCACAGCCAAACAAACCCAGGCAAAGCCGGCAGTGAAGCTGCCTACCCTGGTCTTTAGGCATGAGAAGCTGATACATTCCACTTGCCAGTGTGCGATACGCTGGCCATCGCTGACCCATTGCCGAAAGGTACAGTCCGGAGGGACAGACCTCCATACTGTGGTTAGGGCGTTGTGTAAGTCAGCGAAAATTGAGGCTTCTTCTGAGCATCGCTTGTCATCCTTGCTCATATTTGCATATCAATGTGGTCAAACATAGGTTGCTGCTTTTGGGACTGCCCTCCCCCCGCCCCTCCCCCCTCCCCCCCTCCCTCCCCCTCCCCCCCTCCCCACCCCCTCCCCCCCTCCCTCCCCCTCCCCCCCCTCCCCCCCCCCCCCCCCCCCCCTCCCCCGCCCCCATGACATGTCTTTCTCCAAGGACAGATTCTTAGGAGCTGAATCTTCAACTGAAGTCCAAAACAGCATGGTGGAAGCTTCCACTGCGCACGTCATCCCGCAGAACATGGGCTCAAACATGAAAGGCGTTGGAAGACGCATATGAAGTAGGGCCTTTGTTATCGTCTTTGTTGCGTGTATGGGCTTCCTTGAAAACATGTTGGTGAGTGTACATATCTGGTGTCCTTTTTTGGGACTTGTAGCCAACACTACTACGCACAAGCACTGCAGGACAAAACGAGCTGAACACAGTGGCGAGCGGAAACGTTGTGAGATGTTGTAAGAACTTGGGCCTCGAATGGGCTGATGGCGTTTGTGCCAATCTCTCCCGGAGGTCGGAGGGTTGAGCCCGTCTCTCCAGGAGGCCGAAAGGTTGATCCACAGCCTTACTACCAATGGCTTTTTGAACGCCGCCGAAGCGGTGAGTCGAGCAACCTATGGACCACACACTTCCCGCCACAACCGTGGCCTTCTTCGCCTTCGATGGCCCGCACTGCCTCTGCGGGACCCTGAGAGCCTCAGAGACTCAGAGCAGAAGCTCGTTTTCTGACAGAGTCATCAGAGTCTCAAGTCCCAATCAAGAACTGAGCCACAAAAGCACGACACTTCTTCCATGTCTGGAACCTGTTTATAGAGCGTGATCTCCATAATTGGACTCGGTTCGCGGAGGCCGTACGCGTAAGGTGGACGTCGTGTGGTGCGAGGAAGGAGTTTGAATTACCATCGCCTGGACCAACACAAACACCATCAAATTTGGGCAAATGGTTTCAAAATGTTAGCAGATGCTGCTCGAGAGGGCAATATTGACCATTAAAGAGAAAACAATAGTATATTCAGTACCGTCAAACTGGTAGTGTATCCAGTGTATCCTTAGTAAAAACGTCATGAAAGAACAAGATAGATTAAGATACATGTATACAGTTTGTATTCAAACGGTTGCAAACCAAATTTAACTTTTATACAGATTTAACAACGGAATCATAGTTGCAATGTCAAACAGATACTGCTTTTCAATTGTTGAATAACATCTGCCGTGTAAGAGCCCATGGTACAAGAAAATCAAAGGAAGATGCCGGGGCGCATGTCAGGGACCCAAGCAACGGAAGATTGAGCCAGGGCCTGGAGAACCAGGCAGAAACATTTGGAAGCTGAGAAAAACCGTGGCCCGGGCAATGCATTGGTGGTGTAGCCATCCGCAATCAGGAAAGCTCCTTGGAGCTTGGCGGTTGTCGTTTACAAATCTCTTGGGTGGGTTCTGCTCTGACCGGTCGTCCCGTCGACCTAGGAATCGTGAGTTTGGTGACAAACATTGACGGTTTCGGGCCAGTTTCGGGGGCCTGACCGCAACTCGGCGGTCAAACGGTCGTCATTGTCAGAATCGCTACCGATCCACAACTTGCTGGTATAAAAACAGCACATTTTGCGTGCTCTCCCACTTCCTTGAACCATGCTGAATGGTTCAAATGCTGAAGGCTCCTGCTGACCTGCACATGGGCCAGCCAAGTCCGACTGGTGTTGGGACAGGACCTTAAACGTGTTCCGATGTTTTTGAAACCGCAACGGCGTGGGCCGAATTGTTCAGGTCGGTGCTTCTCTCGCCGCTCTCCGATGCAGCTTCTTTCTTGGCCGGAAGCTTGTGAGCATGTGAGGGGGGCATATGTGGGCTTTTGTGTCAATCATTGGCCGAGTGGGAGCTTTTGCATTCCTTGCATCCCGTGCATTCCTTGTTCTCGACCAGGCAAAGGCTGCCGACTTGAGTTTGAAGCGGAAAGATGTCGGGCACGCAATACATTGCTGCAATCAGGCCGGTCCCGTTGGGCTGGTCATGCGCAGTGCACTGTGAAACAAGCCCATGACACGTCCCGCATCCTCCTCCTCCCGCATCCTTCTGCCGAGACACTCCAGAGTCCACTGCACTTGCGAATGCTTCAGGCAGTTTCTCTGGGACCAGACTGTGGCAACACGGCTTATCACTTCAGATTGCATGCTGCGCACCGTTCACATGTGTACCTCGCATGGGCGCAGGAATGTGCCACAGCTGTCGCAATCAGGTCCTGCTTGGAGACATCGGGCAGTTGCGAGAATACAAGCCGGCCATGCCGAAGCTGCAGTCGAGGACAGGCAGCTTGTCTCCGATGGGCTCAGTGCAACCAGGTAGTAACCAGCCAAAGATCATCAAAGATCACCAAAACATCTGATTGCTCTGACACGCTCTGACAGTCTCAGGGCAGGCCTACAAGTTCCAGGTGACGCACGGACCTTCTCTCACACCGTCTAGCCCAGTCTCAGGCTCCAAGGTGCAAACGACAAGTTGTGGACTGACGAGCCATGGACGAGCGTCTCCACAAAGTTCGCCACTGAGGACGGCAGGTCCAGACGCACAAAGAGAGGGCTCGGTTAGACGAGCTGTCCCCCTCGGGTTGCAGCTGAGCCACACCGAGACCGCGGCGGGACCGGCAACCTTGCTGACTCGAAATGATAAGCTGACAGTAGCGCGCCTTCGACCTGGACCGGGTCGTGCACTCTTACGCCACCTTGAACTCCCCACACCACCACCTCCCAGATGGGGAGCAAGCCCGTGCCAGCGTGCAGGCCTGGCCAGGGCGCCCTCCAGCCCTCGGACTTTTGCGTGCCGGCTTCCGCAAAGTCGTGCGTGAGCAGCTGACCAACCCTGATCTCACCGCATGTGCGGCAAGCTGGACCCGCGGAGTACACCTTAAGCGTTACACGTGTGCATGTGTCAGCCTGGCCGTGCAATTGGTGGCTGGAGAGTTTCACGGCAGATGTGGCTTGTGTCTTGAACAGTGAAGCACCCATCGCTCCATCACCGTCGCGACCCCCTGCGCAGCCCATCACGAACCCCACACGGGCCAAGTCCAAGGAGTATTCCTGTCACGCTCTGATTGCTTGCAAGGCTTGCACTGACCCCACGGCCGCGTTCCATGTGTCATGTCTTGACAGACACGAGCCTTCCACGGGAACGTTGTTGCTGTTCGTTTGATCGTATAGTTCCTTGCCGAACCTGTTCCGTGACCCCATCGCGGCAGACCATAAGAGTATCGTAGGCTTATATGACGTTGATGCGCGTGGCTCTGGGCATGTGGCTGTCAGCGGCCCTAAACGAGCACAGTCAAATCACAAGAATAGACCACCGGCACGATGCAGGATGCATCAGCGGCAGTCGATGCTGAGCCCTTGAACGTGTCATGGCCTCAGCAATCTTTACGCTGTAGTATGCTGTGGTTGATTCGCATCTAATGGGCGTCCGTACAAAAACTCACTCACAAACATTTCTGATTTGCATGATTGCGCATGAAAGCAAACATATTCAGCAGGAAAACTATGTTAATGTAGCGCACAAGAGACGCGAACAAATTCAGCAGGATGACTACGCTTCTGCAGCACAAAAAAGACGCGAACCTGCGCACGCGTTTATAGGCATGCATCTGCCCGCACATGCAGTAAATGCACGCTTTTCTTTTTCGGAACCTGACATGTTATAGATGGAGCGCTCGACTCAGGCACAACTGGGAAACACGAACAGCCGCGAAGTTTGGTGAACGTGCCATGCTTGTGCACCTCTCCATGCTGCGTTCAGTGGACCCAGCACAGTGCCAGGCAGTGGTGATTTTGACGGCGCCGCGGAGGATGCAGCTCATGCCATTTCACTCGATGGTTGGCGGCCAAGTCTCTGGAGAAGGCCGGAAAGGAGTTCTGTGACAAGGAAGCTAGGTGGCCGAATACATGCATTTTAGTCATTCACTGACATGCCGGCGGCATACCTGCTAACCCGCTATGCCGCCATAGTCAACTTAGACATTTTGGCCCGGTCCTTCATCGGTGGAGGCGGGCCTTGGCCAGGGTCATGCTCCAGGAGCCGCTGCTTGCCGGCTGACTCTCTGACACTTTCCCGACGCCGTTCTTCGCAGTTCGCTACAAGCCTTCCCCTCACTTTTCAGGATTTTGCAGATGCCAAAGAGGACCTTGACAAGGCCTGAGAAGAGCGTCTCTCGAGGGTCCTGATGTGCCTTTGTCTGGATACCGAGTGACTGACGAATGGCGAGAGGCCTTGCATCTGGATCCAAAGCATGCTGCCAGTTGGCGCAATCGTGGGGCGGTGAGGCGGGAAAGCGGCCTTCACAGATGGCATTGCGGTCACATGCCGCCATAGACTTCAGGTTGGCTATGAGCGACGTACAAGGTGCTGAGCTCGTAGTTCCGTGCTGTCATTCTGGCGCACGCCTCCCACTCCCCCCTCCGCTGGGTCTTTGGACCTCCTCCATTTTGGAGCTCCAAGCTTTGCAGATTCTTGCTTTGCAGACTAGGAAATTGGTGCGGGATCGCCGTGTTGCTGATTGGCTGGCAAAACTTCAAAAATCTACAATGCCGACTGGCATACACAGTGCTGAATGGCAAGCTGCGTTTTCATTTTCTGGTGCCTGCGATTGTTTCCTGAGACCAGTAGTTCGAACAGGGTAGGGTCGAAAGTAGTGTCACAGGTTTCTTTGGGGAGGGTTTCATGTAAAAGCGCTTCCATCAGGGGATACGGTTAGGAGTTGAGGTTTCCTTGAAGCAGATCAGATCCAGAATTCTGAGATGGCCAGAGAGCGTCAGCTCTCCAGAAAAAGGCTTGCGGGGTTCTGTGTTACATGAGGGTTGCGGGTTCGGAGAGGTTGGGGGGGGGGGCTCTTCAAGAAGTCTTAGCCCCCCATGCCTCCGGGTGCCTGCTACTGCTATTGTAGAGATATGTGCCAGCCACAATCTGAAAACTAACCTCTGGCGATTCATGTCTGTGGATGTTGGAAACATTCGCCTACATGCAAAGCATGGACACAAAGGTGCTGAGTCAGATGCTTCACGCGCCGGTCCCTCAGCAACTTTCAAACCTGTTGTGGGGGTGCTGCAGCTTGTTGTCTTGCCACGTTCGCTGTCCAGTTAGCAGGTAGCGCCTGTCAAAACAGGCTCTGCAGGTGACGAGTGTCGTTGGCTCTTGTGCTGAGGCGGTGAAGCTGCACCCGACCATCGACAGCTACTTGCAACGTCGCTTCGTCTCATTAAATCATCTGGGTGACGGTGACCGGCATAGGGCGTGGACATGCTATGTGTGCACCTCTTGAGGTGCAAAGATCCGGACCCATGGCCGCAGTTATCAGACATCGCACAAACTCCGTTTCTCCATGGTGCTCTATTTCTATTACTTTGTATTGCATGCGTTGCAGCGGGACACTGCCGTGCATCAGGTTGGAGGCGAAACGCTACGCAGCAGCGGACCGGGATTGCACGGCGGCTTTGCGCAGGGACAAACGCGAGGCGTCGCGCTGTCTGTGAGAAACTACCTGACTTCAAGGGTCTCAGTGCCTTAACAAGGCTGGAAGAGGTTGAATGTGCAAGCCTGCCAAGTTCTTAAGTTGCTGAGTCGCGCCAGAGTCTGCTGGCGGCAAGCGGGTTTTGTTGAGCCGATCCAAGAAACCCACTCCTGCCATGTACTAAAGGGGATACACCCCTTTGCGCCGGAATCCCTTGGATTGGGGTTGTTTAGTGCTTCGGCGCTTCATCTTGGATGTTGTGCGGTCAGGCCGATGCATGGTACTTGCGGGCAGTGGCACGGAAGCATACCGAACCTGCTGACCTGGCTGGAGCAGTTTCAGATCTGTGTGAGGCCGGATTCCAATGCACCTCATGCGCATTCATTTGGACTGAGTTGGTCAGATGCCAATTTGCAGGCCATCGCTTGTGACCCTTACGAAGCAGAGGCTGTGATGCAAGGGATGCCGCGTGACGAAGTGAAAGGGCAATGGACAGTGAATGTGCTTTTCAGGCTTGGAAACTCCGTGCTGAGATTCAGTTGCGACGTGGCAGCTCTCCTACACCCTAGACACTGCAAAGGCTTGTCGCTGTCTTGGCAGCTGCAGGCAAGTATGAACAGGTGGTGGAGGACAGCACTGAGGCTCAGCCAAGCGGACTAATTACTAATTCGAGCGTAGGAGCTGAGCAACGGATTTTGGAATTTCTTGAAAGGCCATCCGGCTCAACGGGGAGTCCTGTGAAGTTTTGCGGGAGCCCTTTGAACAGCAGTCGCCGGGGTGCAGAGCAGCTTCTGTCTTGCTAAGGTGTATGCGGGGCAAAGCTCATTTTCGGAAAGGAGCCTTCCAAAGCAGCTTGGCACGGCTGTTGCGCAGCTTTGCGGAGCTTCCTTAGTCGTTGGACAGCTTGGAACACCTTCACAACACTGCCTTTTGAGGTGCTGCAGCAGATTTCGAGCGAGCTTTGCAGGTCGACCCAGAAAGCCTGGGGCTCCACTTTCAGTCAGACGAGTCACACAAAATCACTGAAAAACACACACAGGCACACACTTGCTCCGCATACATCCCTAATGACCCGAATGTCTTCCCAGGTGAGATCGCGGCAAAAATGTTGGATCGTGCAAAGCAGCAAGGACCTCAGCATCCTATTCCGCCTGCTGCTGATCTTGCTTTCTGCAATCTGGTGCTTCATGGCGGTGACAGCTCAACATCCTTTGTGGAGGTCTTTAAAGCAGCTGGAAGCCTGGCATCTGCCAGCCCTTGCAGGTGGCCTCCATTCCTTCATCGAGTCAGTACATAGTGCACAGCTGCTCCTGAAACAATCCTAAGTGTTCTAGGCCCTAAGCGAGTCAGTGTCCAGGCATCCGCAACCCAAACGCTTTTTTGTTATTTCCCCTACTGTGAGCAATGTTTGATTGCGGCGTTTCGCCTTTCGTTGTCCGACAGCCAAGCTGCACGGACCACACACGTGCTGCTTGCTTGCTAAGCAGCCACTTTCGGAATGCAGGCGCCTGTTCAGTGGTTGCTGATTTATTGCCCTAGCGCATGGGCATCATCCCTAATGGGAAGGCCTGCCCATGCGTCGGCATTGCGCTTGAGCCTGCACGAAAAGGGCTTGGATCTGTGCAGGGAAAGCAGACGGATTGTACAGATCAGAGAGAGAGAGACGGTGGCCGCAGCCACATGTCAAGCAGACATTAGCAGGCTTTTCAGCATTCTGGTCGCCAATGGTCTCAAGCCCGTGTATAACAAATAGAGCTGTGTTCCAAACATGCTCGCTGGCACGGCGTCTCCTGCCTTTGTTGCGCTGAGACCGTGCTTGTCTTCAGGCTCCAGACCCAAGATGGCATAAGGGCCAATTTTCAAGTTTGATTCTTGGTGCGAAGGCACTCGGCAAACTGTTCCAACATCTGCGGCTTCAAAGGCGACTGCGACTGTGTGTTGATGGCGTATGATGAGATGCATATCGGCCGATGACGTGCGGAGACTGCGCATGCCATGCCATCGATTGCCCAGGGGAGCCCCCTTGCATTAGCAGCGCGGGATGTTGCTGCAGGCGCCTTTGCTGCCTGAGAGCAGAGTACCCAGTTGCAGTGAAGTACTACGAACTGTCACATACTGACATACTGTCACGTTGATCATGCCAGGCACTGGCTTGCTTTTTGCGGCCTCGTTTGCAGCGAGATATGGACGACGTGGAGTTGCGAGGTACGGAGAGTATTGTTTTAAGCTTGGTCCGCAAAAGCTCTGGCAGCTAGGCGAGCCGTCGACATGCCGGTCAAAGAGCCGCCTGTGACCACAACAGTGGCAATTCCGGGAGCCAAGGTTGAAGAGGCAGTTGACAGCTCTTCAAATGCTGCGCTTCTTTTCTATAGGACCGGTGCAAGGCTTCAAAAAACCTCTATTGGCGAAGCTGCCAGGACACGAAGCAGAAAAGAGCCGATGAGTATCGCCTCGTGTTGTACAACGACCCCCTGAACAAGCGCGAGTTTGTTGCAAGGCAGGGGCGTCGGGACAAAGGGATGACGGCATGTCAGTGGCAAACATGCTCTGAGAGATTCTAAGAGGTGCCTGATGACCATCTGCTTGCTTAAAGAAGGAGATGCCTACCAGGCCACATTGTGATTACGTGAGCTCACGTGGCGATAGTAGAATGGCACAGGTCATGATGAAAGCTCACAGAGAAGGAGTTGCCGTGGTAGGCACCTACTCCTTCGAAACGGCGGAGGTGGGTTGTTAGATGGTGCGAGAGCTTCACTGCAAGGCTTTCTTTGGCAATTCCTGACAGGCGTACTGCGATGGGCTGAAGTCTCAAGGCCTTAGTGTTGATATTTTCCCTGTAGACAAGGATGAATAGCTATTGGCACGACCCCGTGCATGAACGCGATGGTGATGTACAAAGAGATCTTTTCCCAGATAACTCAGCTCGTCGCTGAACCATCGCAGCTGAAGGAGCAAAGGCAAAGCCATTCCGAAGCCTGCAAGAGACTCTCCGGTAACCCAAACATGCGCCTGAAAAAAAAAACAGCGCTCAATCACACCATATCACACCTCAACGGGTCAGCGCAGCAGCCTTCTGGACCGCCCCAGGCTGCCCAGCGACTCCTAAACCCACTCGAGCTACGAGCGCCCTGAACATCCGAACAAATAAAGCGTTGTGAAAGAATGGACACAGCCAGACAAAAGTCTTTTTTCTATCTGTCAGGGTTTCGGGTTTACGCTGCAAACAGACAGCATGGGGCTCCTCCCGGGTTAGGGGGTCCAAAAATTGCATAGGGTCCATACATAGGTGGTTCATGGGCGTTCCGTAGGACCCATAGGAGGTTCCGTGAGAGTGCATGGGGTGCACGGAGGTTCGGGATGCTGTTTGTCAACGTGGGGGATTCCTGCGAGACGCAAGGCCAGGAGGCTATGTCGGCAAGACATGGCAAGATTTAGCAAAGGTGCAGGGGCATTGGTGCGTCCCGCACGACATCGGTTCTCGGTCGTGGCGCTGAAGGCGGGAAAGGCGCGACGATGTCAAAGACATCCAGCGCGAGATTCAGGCCATCGGCGAACTCATGGGCGTGGCGGCGATTACCCGATTACCTGCTGCGGGTGAAGATAGCCGCGCTGCAAATGGAGATTGAAGCCCTGAAGCGAGGGTATGCGAAGGTCAGATGACGGTGGGTCCCAGCGGGGGTCGCAGACCCGACAGTGAGCTGGCCACCGCCCTCGCGGCCCAGACGGAAGCCTCACCGACGACAAGTCGGATGCGAGAGACGTGGCCTGTTTTACGAACTAAGAATTCGAGGACGTGTGTTGCGTTTTGGAAGGGACGGATCAGGAAGATGAGCGTGGTGGCAGTGTGGTCGTAAACGCCCTTGCCGAGCGGAGTCAGTTTTGCCGAGCGACACCGAGTGAAGTCGAGTGACGCCAAGCAAAGTCAAGTGACGCCAGACCTGTCTTCGGTCGTTTTCGCGTATCTTCGCCGTCTTCGAAAGTTTTCGCACGTCTACGACCGTCTTTACGCGTCTTCGCTCGCGTTCGCGGGTCTTCCCTCGGTCTTTGCCGTCTTTGCTGGTTTTGGCGTTTCTTCGTGTGTCTTCACGTGGCTTCCCTCGCTTTTCGCGTGTCTTCGCTCGTCTTTGCTCGTCTTCACGCGTTTCGAACATGTTTGCACGTCTTTGCTCGTTTTGCTCGTTTTCGCGCGTGTTCGCTTCTTTTCGCGTGTCTTCGCTCGTTCTCGGTCGTCTCCGGGTTTTCGCTCGTCTGCGCTCGTCGTCGCACGTTTTCGCTCGCTTTCGCTCGTTTTCGCTCGTCTGCGCGGGTGTTCGCTCGTCTTTGCTGGTCTTCGCTCGTCTTCGCTCGTTTTTGTGCGTTTTCGCTCGTATTCGAATGCTTTCGCTCGTTTTCGCTCATGTTCGCTTGATTCGCGTGTGTTTGCTCGCGTTGTCTCGTCTTCGCATGTTTTCGCTGTTTTTCGTGTCTTGCGCACGTCATATCATGTGTACGTTTTCGTTTGTCTTCTCGTATGTATTCGTTCGTTTCGTCTGGAGACGCATGTCTTCACGTGATCTTGCTGATTTTTGTGCGTTTTTGCTCGTTATCATTTTCAACCGTGTTCGCTCGTTGGGCTTTATTTAATACCTAGAACAAGCACACGCGCCAGTTTCGTTGTCTTAACTCGGTGCACAATTTTGCTTTTGCGGAGGTGGCCGTGTCGGAAATCCGGCAAAGCCAATGTTCTTGTGACCACATAACATATAATTGCTAACGTCAACCAAGAAATCGTGAAATCTGGCTTGGCGCAAGTTGTCGCAGCTGTACATGCGGTCGGTCCAGTTGAGGGAAGTGAAGTTGAGGGGTTGCAGACGCAGATGTATCAAGAATGTGCAGTCGCTTTGGTATGCTGACGATGCGCGAAGCCGTTGCAGTGGTCGCCGGCGACGGCGAATATATACCGGCCCTCGCACAACGGAAGCGGACGCTGACGAGGCCATGCTGGCGGCAACTGCGGAGGCCGCCGCAGGCGCTGCCGGTCGAGGCAGGCAGGGTCGGGGCAACGGGAGGGGGCATCGGCGCACACGTTTCCCTGCTGTGGATGAGGGGACGTCAGCGCCGAAACCCCGTGCCCCAATGCGCCCGGCTGTGAACACGGGCGCTTTCACGTCGGACCTCGCTGCGGAGTTGAGGCGGCGAGTGTACACGTTGCAAAGCACGCCGTTGCGGGCGCCTGCTAACCCCAACAAGAGCGCCGTGGCGCGTCGCAACGAGCAGTCGCTCCGGGACCTACCACTGCCGCCGATGCGGATGCACAACGGCGGGGCGACCGTGCCGTTGCGTTCGTGCACCGTGGCAAGTTGTCCGCCGGCCGCACGCCACGCCGCTCAGTCCCCCGCCAAGGGACACGTGGGTATCTTGCGAACGGAGACCAAGTCTGACGGTTGTCAGTACTGACGGTGTCGGTGCAATGTTTCAGGGTTTTTGCCGAGATGCTGAGATGCTGGCTTGGCTTCGTTGATACCCTTTGTCCGCTAATTTTACCTTTTCTTTGCCGCCAGGAAAGCACGTACCTGTTCTACGATCATCCAGGACGGGCGCGGGCATCCACCCGGCCCTTTTGGCAGCGCACACGTGCTGACCTATATGCATTCGTGTGTGTTGTGCGAGCCAGCACACGCGTGTGCCGACTTTGTCACCATGCGCACGGAGCTCAAACACCACGCCAACATCGATGTACATCTTGGGAAAACGCGAAGCTGCCGGAGCGTGCGACAAACGCGCGTGCAAGACGCATCTTTCTGACTTCACCCTTGCGTCCCGTGCGCTGCTGTCGCAGGCTGGGCTGGGCCACACTCTGCCGAGCCCACGGGGCCGTGTCCATTCCGAATGCGCAGTTCCGGATTCTGCGCCTGCGCCTGCCCCTGCCGCTCGCCCCCGCACGTGCAGCAGGCGTGGCAACGTGTGCGCTACCAGCGGCGCGCTCGCCGCGCCCTAAACCCTTGATGTTAGGAATGGCGTCGGACGTAGTTGGCAGTGCAGGATCGGCTCCGCTTGAAATGAGTGCGGCCACGGTTGCAACTTTCCGTGCCATTATGCGTGAAGAGTTGTCCGAGTTCGAGCAGTCCATTTCCTCAAGATTCGATGCTTCCTTCACACGTCTCCAGGATGAGTTGCATCGCGAAACCACAGCTCGCAAAGAGTTGGAACAGCGGGTGGCTCGACTGGAAGCAACTCCACAACCATCCACCCAGAGCGAGGATGTGGACAAAACAGTCGCGGTTATCGGAGGTTTTGGTGAGAAGGATGCAAATCAAACGGAAAGCTTTCTCAAGGAGATTCTTGCCGAAACCGACGGTCTTGTCGACGTTTACGCCACAAGTCCTGATCCTGTTGTTGCTTTCGCGCAGTTCACGACACAGGAGAAGGTGCTGAAGTTCGTACGTGCTCAGAAGACACATGTGGGAATGCGGCAGCACAAGCTTTGGGCAGCAGAAAACAAGCCTGCTTCGGAGAGAAAGCGTGGCAAGATTTTGAGTAAGATCAAAAAGTTCACCATTGAGCTCGACAGCATTGAGCCGCGCAATATTGTCGTCAATTATCGCCGTTGCAAAGTATCCGTCCGACACGGTGGCCAGCTCGTTCACGCAGCATTCGTCGCTGAAGATGGGGCTGTGGAGTGGGCAGTTCGCAATTGCCCTGTGAGTGAGCAAGTCCGCGATGCCATCATGGACTTTGCAGAAGACTTGGAGTAGGACACAAAACCTTGTCAGAGGGCCAGTCAGGTCCAATCTTCTCGCAAGAGGACAGAGCACCATGGAGGGTTTGCTTTCAGTAAGCGTGCCATGTCGGCGACAAAGGCTTTCAGAGTTCAGATACATATTGCCACCAAAAATGTACAGAGCATGCGGGCCGAGACAAGGTTTCAAGATTGCTTGGCGGAACTGGATGCTGGTGAGCACGATTTGGTTTTCTTATCCGAAACTTGGCGATCCGAGTTGCATGAGGTTTTCGAGACGCCTCGCCAAGGCAAACTTTACCTCAGTGGTGGGTTTGCTTTCCATGGCGTTGGAATTTACATTGCTCCAAAGTTTTGCAAGTCGATTTCTGGCATTTGCTTCCATGCGATTTCTGCTCGATTGTGCATGTTGCAATTCTCATTTCATAGCCGCAGATTTCACGCATATTCATGTTACTTCCCAACCAGCTGGGACAATGATGATTCAGTGGATGAGCTTTACAGTGTTCTGGATTTGATGCTTGCAAACAGCCATGCTTCTGCAGCCATTTCTGTACTTGGTGGGGATTTTAACGCACACATAGGAGCAGCAATGCCACATGATGATGTTGGACTGCTTGGCTCTTGGGGTTCTGGGGTCCGAAATGTCAGGGGTTCGAAACTGACAAATTGGGTGTTGGAGCACCAGTTGCATATTGTCAGCCGTTTTGCTAATGCACCACTACAAGACAGTTGGACGTGCAAGCGTGCTTTTGACACCAGCCTGGTTCAAATTGATTACATCATTTGTGATGTGAGATTGGGGCCACTCTCGACTTGGAACGATTTTTCGATTGCAACAGGGTTGGACCATCGATGCGTGCATTCCTTGGTTGAAATGGTTGTGACCGATCCAGTTCGCCATCGGAGGCGTCGTAAAAGTTTGAATGGGTGGCACCCTATTTTGGATGCAGAGAAAAAGCCGAGTCATTATCATGCGCTACTTCAATCCTTGCTTGCCCAGCATCTCGTTCCAAGTTTGGAGACCATTGAAAAGATGCTCCACGCGGCTGGGGAGCGTGCAGGACATTGTAGTCGTCATCGTCCGAAGTTTTCACCGTCGTTGGAGCTGCAACAGCTACGTCGTCAAAGACGCA